CGTCCAGAGGCTGAAACCCTTAGCAAGGATGTTCCTCATCGCCCCCATGTTGGTGAAACAGGAGCAGCCAATCGGTTTTCGGCCATCGAACGACATGGGGCCTCGGAATGTGAGGGTGGCCTTTTCTTCGCTGCCCTCCTTCACGCAAGACCATTATGAAAATCTCGGAGGAAAAGCACACGTTATTTGGATGTTTACAGATCAGCGTTAGAGCTCATTGCTGTGGGCAGCATTTCTGTAGGCGCTTCGGCTCCGCGAGTATGAGACTATAAACATGCTCTACGTGTAATGCCCTTAGAGCGACAAATGCGCACAATGAGTCGTAGTCAGTCTCCTAGTTTCGATCAATACTAGAATTTTCCAAGACGCTATGGCTGATCACGGGAACACCGGAAAGTGTTTGTCCTGTCAGAATAGCCAAGTCTTCGACCTTCAAACGAGTCAAGGTGTTGAGTTCATCCGGATCGTTGCTTGCCAAGGCGACTGGACATATTCAGGGGGTTACGAGAATGGCGGACTCCTTTATGCGTCTAGAAATGCCTTGAAGACGACACAGAGCTTTGACAGGTCGCTTAACGATGTTTACTAAGTTGACAGTCTGCTGCCGGCGGTGGCAAACAGTCCGCATAGTGCGGGCTGTTCATGGATGCGCCACCGAGTCTAAAAAGTCGTGATAGGGCTTAGTATCAGCCCAGTTATCATGGGGAAATGGAGTCTAGAGCCCTCTTTTCCATCATGAGCAGGGAAACGGTTACAAGGCCGCTTCAAGGCCTTCCTGGTCACAATAGGGGGCACACGCTGCGTGGGCTAGAGGAACTCTATTTTTGCACTGACGCTACTCCGCATCTCCGCTTGATGATTCCTCATCAGCTGAGAGCATGCTCGTCCCCCAAGTCGGTGACCTGAGGAGCTTCAATCGGTAAAAGGCAAAGTTTTGAGCCCAATGCAGATTCAGAAGTCCTCCCGGTAGTCGGAATTTCGGTCCATCCACCTCGCCTGCAACAATATCAACCTGTATGCCCCCAGAGTTGTCTCGGGGAGCTTTTCCGGATGTGCATGGATCCTAGTTGTCAAGCATTGCTGGTGTCGATCCCTCGTCCCGCCTGGTCGGTTTCAGAAGTAAAGAATTGGGTTCTACAGTCTCCTTAACATGCATGCTAAGAAGTCCACAATAACCTTGTTAATTCACTTCACGAAGCATCGAATACGGACTTGGCAGCTGAGAATAGCATCGGGCATTCGGTCTTTGTACTGCCAAAGTGTCCGCTCGGCGCCGACTACCATGGAAAAGGCTGGCCTTACTTGGCCAGGCGCAATATGGATTCAATCAACAGGCTAGGCGAGGTAACGGTTTGCAGTCGACAAATTTGATATTGAGGAGTGATCATGATGGCCGTACATGGAATAGGAGCAGTTCCAGTGGTGTCATGATGTTATAAAGTCTTTGATTTTCCCTCGAAAATATGTTGTTCTTCTCATCATCACATCAATCAGATCAGCCTTCCATCGCAACAACGAGTTGTACTTCCTTCTTTTTTTGTGCTTTTTATTCACTCACTTAGGAACTTTCCTACCACTTTCACTTACCACCAATCTTTTGATTCAAAATGGCCGCTATCGGAGCAGTTGCAACCCTCGGCACCGCTATTGGCAATGTCGCTACCTTTTTGGGACTCGTCTCATCGGGCATTGGCATCATGTCGGCCATCAACACGAAGCCCAAGGAGGTTGACTTCTACACCATTCGCATGGAAATCGGAGACAACCAAGATGCCGCTGGCAACCCTCCCTCCATCATCCTGTCCGACTTCTCCAACACCCAGATCTTTGGTGTTTTCGAAGGAAACAGTAACAAGCCCGAGGACCAATGCCGCAACAATGGTGACTTGGAACTTTTCAAGGGCCTGAAGAACGCTGAGGCACCTATTCAGAGCTTCAAGACCAACAATGGTTTCAACCTCAAGTCTCTCGATATCCAGCCTGGTGGCAATGCCATCTGCGTCTCCAACATCATTCTGAAGGGAAGCGACACCCAGGCAAGACGCGATGAGGTCTTCATTCCTGTTGGTGACTTGGGCTTCCAGTGCGGCCGCGAGTGGAACTGGGGCGCCGTCCTCAATGGTGTTCGCCAACGCTGCATCTGGCTTGACGGTCAGCCCGACGGCACCAACAAGCCCATCCAGTCCCTTCACCTCGACATGGAGAACCTTGCCGGAATCTTCAACAAGGGCAAGAACGACACACTAGCCAAGACTACTTTTGAGCAGGCTTGCAAGTACGTTACCGACAACGTGGGACAGGTCGCAAACCGCAACAGCTGCAAGGAGTCCTTCAGCAAGCGCTCTCTTTCCGGCAAGAACCAGACTATTGATACTGTTCCATTCCTTGAGGAACTTTCTGGATTCTTCAATGGCAAGGACGAGTCGCTGACCAAGTTTGCCGGTGCTCCTTTCATCACCTCCGACAACAAGATCTGGGACTCCACCAAGAAGGCTTTCACTGACGTTTCTCCCAAGAGCGTTCCCGCCAAGCGCTCCCGTCACTTTGCCCGCATGGAGGAGAAGAGGGGTCTGGCTTCTACCCTGAAGGGCGAGCGCTGCGAGTATGCTGCTAATGGAGCAGCTCCAGTGTGCAAGGTCGTCAAGGAATTCGCCGTTGGCTCTGCTTGATTTCGAACATTTGATGTGCTTTATTGATTCATTTCCTTGTTTTTGTTTAGCCTTGTAGATTGTTTATGTAGATTTCTTGAATGACACTTCATTTTTCATAACCGTCTGCTGAAATCATTCAACTTGTATTTGCTGATCATTTGTCAACTCACACTCTATCATGGGTCAGCTCCTCGAGCAAATGGCGACTAGAAAGTGAAGTATAAGCAGACCAATCATCTATTGCAGCTCTAGGACTTTGCAAGTGAGGTGAGATTAAGGTGACACTACTCTTGGATCAAAAGAGCACTTAACTTTAAGGTGGCAGGGAAGGCGGCAGGGATGGTTCAGAAGAACTTTCAGTTCGGGTTGTGGGGTGCATACACCATCAAGGACCTACGGAGAACATAACACGGTATTAGTCGATCATTTGCTTGGGCAGAATTATTCTACCGAAGACACTATAGATCTGGCGCTTGATAGCGATTTTTAGGATGTGCCACAAAACGTTTCAATTACCTTGGTGTCGTAGAGTCATTCTTTGCTGTAGCTGGACAGCTTGCCTGCATCAGCACCAGGCAAGTCGCGTATGGATCCGACTTTTGCTCTGTCACATTGTTGGGATAGAATTTCAATTCATTCATTAAACCCACCAGAGAATCTCACGTCAGCCAAATTCATATACCCTAAAAGGGTTATTTTCTTCATCCCCAGCTGATAAGACTGCCGATTGCGAGGGTTTCAGCGAAAGGATCAATATTCATCGTCTCTTGCCGCTGCTGGGGGGCGAGTCAGCAGCTACCTGACAGACTTACTGTCGGCCTCACGAGAATATATTATACTCCTGGTTCAACTAACAAGACAACCAATCGGGGCAAACTTCCTCTTGAAAGGCAACCTTGGAATCCTGAAGGGGAAATGGCCCCCTGCGACATCAGACCCCATGGGGATTAGAGCTTGGGGGTTGTCTAACTTGGCGAGGCAGGCAGCTAGACATTTGTCTTGGCACGTAAGCCGCCAATGCTTCACATCGCAGCGGTCAAGACCTCAAAGTTTGCAAACGGTAGTAGGCTTGTTGAGAAAGAAATTACTACGGGGCATTTCCGATCAGGCAGCCATTATTTTTCTCATTGCAGAAGTTTGCTACTAGTTTAAGCTCGACTATGTTCAGGACGGCCAAGTATAAGTATGCTTGTTCTGTGCTTGCATGCAATCCTCACGATCAGAAGAATCACCTCAATCAGCTTGCATCTCCTCATCAGTTAATTCGTCAATCCCAAGTCTTAAACGAAACTCATCCCTCCAGTCAACATGGTCTCCCTCAAGAACATTGCCCTCGCAACTTTCGCTGGCTCTGCACTTGCTTGCGTCGATTTCGTCGCAAGCATCAACAACTTCCAATATGCCACCATCACGCTCACAGACAATGGTCAAAAGGTGTGCAGCGTCAACGGATACGGTGACGTTAATGGCTGGCGTGAGTTAATTTCACCGCACTCTGACATGGCAACGGTGCACCAATAGCTAATCGTTATGTCATACTCAGGTCTGAACTGCCGCTCTGGTTACTCAGCATACATGCGCTTCCGTGACGATGTTGTGGAATACTCTGCGCCGCATGGCTCGTGGACATTTGCGACAAAGTGCGAATACATGGCTGCACCTGGCGCTGGAGCTGCTGGTATCAATGTTTGCACTGCTAGAGTGTTTGGCTGTTGATTTGTCAAAAGACATTTGGGAGCGCCAAATAGAAATAAAACAAATTGGGTGGAAAAGCCTGAAGCTATCATGAATTCGCTAAGTGTTTGGGACGAAAGCAATAGGATGATTAGTTGATGCCAAGCATCTTGAACACTTTCTTGTTGTTAAACACCGCTTACTTTCCACTGCTCCGTGGGACACTGCGAATCAAATGGTGCTACCTGCCAAGCATGGGTCTCAGTTCTTACCTCTAGCGGCATTTCGGCCTCTGGTATCTGAATCGTCTTTTCTCGACTAGAGTTAGTCGTGTGAGGATTGACAACTTTCTCGATTCTCACTTGATTCTTAGACTCTGAGATTTGAACCCTTTAGAGCCTATGTTGTCATCCAACGTTACATTCTCATAAACTGGATCCATTCTGTCTGTTAATAAGAGTTAAGTCAGCTCGCGCACTAGCAAGAACATGGAGTTGACGACTAAAATCGGGGGTTTCGTCTCCGAGATGCGGAGTCTAGTGGGCCATACCAACTCGGGGGCATTGGGTGATTCATGCGTCCAGGTTCAACTCGGGTTGTCCGTCTTTCGTGCTAAAGAAAAGAGCTTGGCAAAGGTGCTGACTTTTCCAGCCTTCAGTAAAGACACTTTGTCCACTTAACTTCGTTCCATGCAGAAATTGTAGACTCAGCAACCAAAGTCGAGACTCATTGGAACCTTGTGCAGGAACACCACCTCGAAGCCCCAGCGACCCAGACTTTAGCATCTTTACCCCGCCATTCGAAGTCTTCAACCGCGATTACCCCGCAGCAACCATGGCAAGCACCACCGTCGCGGGGCAGAACTCTGATGTCCGCATCGAAGTCATCTCCCAGCCCGAAGACTTCACTCAAGTCACCGAAGTTGTCCGTGACGCATTCGGTCACCAAGCTCGCGATGGTGTCTACCTGTCCATGAACCCCGGCTGGGACACACCGGAAGGCGTGGTTCGCGGCGCCGGTCGCATGGCTAACCGCTTCAAAACCGTCAACAAGAACAACAAGGGCGAACCCAATGTCGTATTCCTCAAGGCCACCCTTCCGGATCCCGAAACTGCCGGGCAGCGCAGAATCGTAGGCATGGCTATCTGGGCACAGCAGTCCGCTATTGAAGGTCACGGCGATCAGCCCCCGAAAGACTTGATCAAGGAGCTCGGGCTGGAGTCCATCTTCCCCGGCAACGAAGCCGAGCAGCGATACGCCGCAGCCTGTATGGGATCGCTACACAAGCGACGTGAAGAGGTCATCGCAGAGAAGGCAACGGCGGCTGAGCCGGCAGTTTTCGTGCTGGACATGTGCGCCGTGGATCCCAAGTTTCAGGGTAAGGGCATCGCCAAGAAGCTGGTTCAGTGGGGTCTCGATGAGGCGAAGCGACGTGGCGGGCTTGAGCTGCTCCTTGAGGCGTCAAGTATGGGTAGACACGTGTATTCCAAGCTGGGTTTCAAGCAAGAAGGTCCAGAGATCGAATATGACGTTGAAGAGCAATTCGCGCACCGAGACAGGCCTTCGAATATTTTCATGAGGACTGGAGACGGCCAGTGACGTTCTGAATGGGAAAAGGGACACAGCTTGGTATTCTAAACAATAGCTCGAACAAGAGATCTATTCATCTTTGTAATTTTTTTAAGCTGTTGAACAGAGGTCTTCCATAGGAGGGAAGCATGTGCCCAAATGCCACACGGCGAAGTTTCACACGAGTTCTATGACCTTGCACATGGATTATGTTCAATGGTATTATTATTAAACCTATATACACAAGCAACTATGAAACTACAAAGGCCTAAACGGCGTTGGATGTAGTCTCCTGCTTGGTGTGATGTTCAGAGAAAGGTCTCTCATCGCTTGCCTTCTCGGTTGGGTTGCTGTTGTCAGTGTGGACCGATGCTCTTTGGAACGCGGACTCGTCTTTATCCTTGCGAGTGATGTAGCCTGGAGGCACCCACTTGGTGGAGGAGTAGGGCTTGACGCTTGGGTCGCTGTACATTCTGTCGACGTTCTCGAGGGACAGCATCTTCGTCTCGTAGAGGAAGAACCATACGAGGAAAGCGGCGGCCAAGTTGCACCCAGCAAAGACGAAACCATATGCGAAAGAGATACCGTTGGTCGCGAACGGTGTCAGAAATGAGATGAGGAAGTTGCCCAACCAGTTGCCGGCGGTGGCGAGAGATGCCTGCTTGGCTCTAGTTCGGAGCGGGAAAGTCTCTCCAATGACGCACCATGCCATAGGTCCCCAGGTCTATAGAGATACATTGTCAGTAAGAGGAATTGTTGAAGTTGGCAGAGGGAAGCTTACGCTAGCGAAGGAAGCAATGAACATGCAGGCCGAGACGATCATGACGATGCCGCTGGTCGCGCTGGTTTCGGGAGGAAGGGCAGTGCCGACAGAGGCGAAGATTGTGAGCCAGGCAAACTGCCAAAGAGCACCAATGAACATGGGCCAACGTCTACCGTATCTCTCAACGGCATAGAGACCATAGAAAGTGCAAACAACGTTGACGGCACCGAGAATAAGCTGAACCATGATCGGATCATCGATACCAGCCGACTCGAAGATTTGCGCTCCGTAGTAGAAGAAGTAGTTGATACCAGTCCTATAATGGATGTTAGACAGTGTTCTTAAACGTTGAAATTTCGATGTGCCGCAACATACCACTGCTGCAGGAAATGAATGCAGATACCCAGGATCGTTCTGTAGACGGTCTTCGGGATTCCAGACGATCCAGTGAAACACTCGAGCCAAGTACCGTAGCCCGTCTTGGACTCCTCCTCAATGACCTTGAACATTTCCTGGAGATCCTTCTCGACGGTCTCGTTGTGCGGGTCGTCTTTGAGACCACGAAGGCGCGCCATGGACATGCGAGCGCCTTCCCAATCCTGACGACCTGCGAGCCATCGAGGAGATTCGGGAACGGCAAGGATTCCCAAGCCCAATGGCAGGGAGAATCCAATACCAAGACCGATAACGATGCGCCATGAAGCGTCGGACTCCTGGATGTTGCGAACGCCGAAGTTGATCAAGTTGGAAATGAGGATACCGAAGGTGATGAGAAGCTGATAGGATGCGACAACAGCACCACGAATCTCGCGGGGAGAGCACTCAGACTGGAACATGGGCACACCGATAGACAGGTTGCCAACACCAAGACCAGCGATGAAGCGACCCATCATCATGTGGACCCATGAGTTCATGGCTGTGATCTGGATGATGTTTCCAACGATGAAGATACTGACACCAAAACTCAAGCTCCTTCGTCGGCCCCACCAGTCGGCTGTGTAGGCACCTGAGAGCGCACCGATGAGAGTACCGATACTCATCAGCGACACCATTAAGGACTGGGTGATGGGAACCCATTGTGGAATACCGTCGGCGTCTGGTGCACCGGTTGCGAAGCGTCTCTTGAAGTCCGTGAACAAAAGCATAGAGGAGATTTGACCGGTGTCGTAACCGAAGAGGAAGCCTCCTATGCTGGTGATAACACCAAGCAAAAGCGACTCGATGCCGCAGTCGGCGCCATTGATGCGAATGGACCTTAGCTTGATGTTAGTGACTACCAGAGTGTACAGTGCAACGGCTCTGTCTTACTTCTTGCCCAACCCCATGTTTTCGGATGCTCTTGTACAGTACGGAGTATCGAGATCGAATTCGGGTGGAGTCTGGAGTAGTGTATGAGTGAGCAGAAGCTCTTCGCTCAAGGACTCATGCAGATGCCCTAATAGTCCAGTGAAGGAGTAGCGGAGACAGGATGAAAGGTCGGTTCAAGCCCAGTTGTGTGGGAAAGCCAGAGAGCGTGAGAAGTGGTGCTCCTGTCTCCGAAGTATGCACCGTGATGGCTTTATACTGCAGCCACATCCTGCCACTTCGCAGATGTGGACGAACCTGAGTCGGCTGACCGACTACAGTGATTGGCAACGATGCTATGACGTTGCCCCAGAGGCCGACTCGGCCCTATCCTTTCTCCATACTGGGGCGCAGACCGGCAAGGTTGATGAAGGCTCTATGTAAGGTGTGGGATGACCTTTGGAAGTACTTGTTGTATCCGTACATGGACACAATCCACTTTCATCCCACGCCTTCATCTGGGGGAGACAGGAAAGGCGCCACCCACGCGACCGACTGTCGGAAGCCCCATGCATCGACAATCCGGGGTTGGAAGGGCGCCGCGCATTCCACCAAGGCAGGACTTGGTGTCTGCGAGTCGTGCGAGCTAGAGAGCTCGCAGTGCCAGCGGGTTGAAAAGCTCAGGTCGGACAATAGACAAGCTGGGCAGGGCGAAAAGCACCTGTTCATGGGGCTCACTCCGTCGACAATGGTTGGGAGACTTGAGGGTGAGGCTTTAGATCGGCTGCTTGGCCCCCGTCATTGCCGACAGCGAGGCAGGGGTACGCGGACATTGGCATACGGAATCGATTTGTGAAGCCAAGACACCGACTTATGCTGCCAAGATGAGTCCACGGTGGAAGGCCAAGCTCCCAAAGCGCGACCGAGTCTCCTTGGAAACTCTGCAAGACTGCTGATTCTTCCACTCAAACGAGTCTCAAAGCCTGTAATAGGCGAAGGCGGAACCGGCAACGTGGGGCCGAGTTTGCACAACGCGATGTCTTGGAATTGAACAGCAGGAATAAAAAGTAATGACGATCCCCAGACCCTCACATGCGAGTCAGACAGCGGCGCGTCCGACCTGTTTCTGCTTATTTAGAGTCTATTGTGCTGTAAGATGCAGCCGGGTCACAGGTAGACTCCGAGACAAAATGTGACGTGCCTAGACTGTGAGCGCAACGCGTCCTGTTCAACTTAACTATGGACTTCCAAGGCTGCTGGCTGGGCGAATGTTGGCAGTTGGCAAAGTTGTGCTTTTTCAGTCTGGGCAGACCAACGAGTCAATGCCATCCCTGCGATGCCCCCGTAATTCAGCGCGCTGGACGCCTCTGGCATTGCCTAGAGTGTTGCTTGTTGCTCCATCTTGAAAAGTTTATCATCGACGGTTAAACACTCGAAAGCATTTCGCTACAGGTTTCTATAACCCTCATATGAATACTGAGAACGACTTGATGAGGGGAAGCATAGGAGGTAGCTTTGATCTGAGAGTTTGCCTCACGCCTGATGATGAGTACCTGCTGGCCTTCCCCATCCATATTATCATACAGGTTGAGCCTCCTCGTTCGATGGCTTCACAGTACAGTTTAAAGCTTTCATTATGCTTCTCCGCCCATAATGCTGGAGCCCCCATGGGACATCCGTTATGTAGCAATACTTCCGACAGCCTCCCATCGGGGCAGCCGGGGAACTTGACCGCCATGCGCGGAGCGTCGGGGCCCCAAATTGCATGCCCCGTTCTCCGCAGTTTCGGGGTGGAATGTGGAGTGTAACGGTCCGATTGCGAGTGGGAATCGCCCAAGACTCTCGCTGTATTCAACGGACCGACTCGAACGTCTTTGATGGGGAAAGGAGAAATGATAAATGGAGAGCGAAGTCTTGGCTTTCTTGGATTTCACACGTCTGCTACCATCTATTTCGAGTTTTCTCCATCCTTTTGCTCAATTGCTGGGACTGATTCCCCAACCACACCCCAGAATCATGTCCAATTCTCCATGTTTTGCACCATCCGATGACCGTCCCAAACTTTTCGATGCTTGCCTCGATGCCTCCTGTTCATCCCGCACTTCAGTCTCACCGGAGAGCCTCCGAGATCCTCCGCACGCCTGAGTTTGGGGAGAAAGGGGTAAAAGAGGGTCGTGGTACCACCGAGTCGGTGAGCTCGAGCGTGGCCTCTTCTAGAACGAGTGTCTCGCAGGCTGCGACAGCTGACCGACCATTCTCTCCACTGAATACGGACGCGAGAATCGGGACGATTCGGAACACTGACCACTTTGCAGAACGAAAAACCAGAATTGCGTTCCACTTGAGTCCCCTGTGAAAAATTATGCTGATCAAGTGGTAGGCAAGTAATTCTTCTCACTTCCGAGCGGCTAGAGTCTGGCTACGATTGTAAGATGCATATGGCCAACTCGAGGAGGAAACTCGTCTGGGGTTCCTGGGGACCAGGGAACCACCTTTTCCCCGGCCGAGAGCATTGAGACCAAATTCTCATTTTGAGCCTCAATCCACGTGAACCACGTTGCCTTCCCTGAAGCCTGGAGAGTGGTCCTGCGAGTAGCCCTTTTGGTTGGTGTAGAGACGCTTTCCTGTCGCCTCATCCACGAAGTCGCAGTTGTAGTGTGTATGACCGAACGCCCAGACCTTGACATTAGGGCTCTTCCAACAATCTTCGTTTCGCAAGTCTGTTTGGAAGCCAGATTTAATGTCGCTTTGAGCATGACAAGGTTCAACGGCGCGGGTATCTTCGGTCGGACTGTAGTGCGTGAAGATGACAATCTTGCGGTCAGAGTCGACGGATATGGCGTTGACTCTGCTGTTCAACCAGGCTAGGTCTTGCTTGTGCAGTTGACAATGCTCCTCCACAGTCCAGCCATCGATTTCGCGGAAGTCGTTTAGGCCGTTGCTGACTGGTGTCATTTTCGTTGATGGGACATTGGAGAACAGTGTGCATCCCAGTACCGTTATGTGGCTGTCGGGAATTCGGTATTCTCGCTGATACATGAAGACGAACTCGCCAACTGCGCTTTCAGGATTCTTCTTCCGTTCGCTTCGATTTGCTTTTTCGAATTTGTCCAACGTCTCCCATGCGTTATCCCAGCTAGAGCCATATGGCTCATGGTTGCCAAAAACATAGAAGACAACGCGAAATTGGTCCAGCAGGCCTCTGATAAAGCCAATGTAGCCGGGATCTTTGACACATCCGATATCGCCGATCAAAGCAAGGTATGGTGCCGTTGGTACAATGCGATAGTTTGAGTAGTTGTTATGTTCAAGATGTAAATCGGATAAGATCTGGAAGGAGGCCATTTTGTGGTGTTTACTGTGACGGGATGCTGTGGACTCCTCAACGTGTTGTGTGCGATCTAGGGGTAATGATTGATGTCTGGTGGTTGCTCGAAAAAACCTCCTCTGCCTTCAAGTAGCCATCTTATTATATACATAGTCAAGAAATGTAGGTTTTCAGCACGTGTTTGTTGGCTTGAACGGAGAAACTACAGAGTTTCTCTACCTCTATGGTTCTTGATGTGATTGTTGCGCGCATAGCATCCGGCTGAAAGTCCCTTCTTGAAAGAACCTTGGTATCAAGAAACCTAAACCGAATTCTGGAGTGAGTCAAAAAGAGAAGAAAATAGACCTTGACAAAGGTTTTGAACCATTTGACGCCCTATATATGAACGGACTCTTGCTTTAATCTGACCAGACGGCAAGGGTTTCGACATATCAGCCATCGCTCCATACACCGACCATGGGAAGTTACTTGGTCAGCTTCGGGGGTTATCTAAGCTTCATCGACTTGAACTTCATGGCATGTTCGAACTCAGTTCGACAGTAAGTCCCTGATTTCACAGATCCTGCGGTCCTTATGGGTTTCCTCCAATCTATCTACGAGGGCCTGCATCTGCAGCAACATACTTGGCCACTCATGCTCCGGAATACAGGCATCAATGATCCTAGTCACAATATACGTCATCGCCCGGCCAGCAAGGCCTGTATATTTGTCCTTCCTTGTACCCTCAGCTACCATGTGCCTCTTTGGGAATATTGTTGTGCATCGAATGTAGGATGTCAGTACCCTGTACTGCTGCATGCGGATCATGTGCATGGTGCGAGAACCAACACACCTCCAGTTTCGGAAAGAAAATACGAAGCAATTCCCGTTTGTCGGCCAAAGTCTTCGCAATTCTGCAATGTTTGCCACGAGGTAGTTGGCACGGAAGCCCCAACGAAGTTGGTCGTCCAAGACGGCGTCAAATGCTGCACTCGGGTTGCCCTGGCGAAGGTCATACAAGTGCTGGTATACACCGAGGTAAGAGAGAGGTTGCCTTTGAAGTCCAGCTTCCCATTCACTACTTGAAAACGTCATTCGGAAGAGTTCAGCTTTCGCCAGGCGTCTCCCAATTGTGTCTCTTGCCTTCCGCCGACGACTGCGTTTCCATTTCCGCAACGAAGAGCCATCGGCTAGTCTGTGCAACTGCTTCGCTGCTCTGCGCATCCAATCAGGAACGTGATATTTATCACTAACACCGTGTTTATACAGAATGTTCCTCAACAAGCCGTCAAGCTGGCCGTCGCCAGCGGCTTTGAACATTCGTGTCATCACGTCGTTCTCATCCGTTTCCCGCTGTCGGCGGAACTCATCAACGAGTTCTTCTCCGAAATAAACTCGGAAGAGAGGCAGCACATGGTTGACGCGTTCGGCTTCGTTGGACACTGGGAGGCCATCCATGCCTACAGGTGTTGACGAGGAGGGGGAGGTGCGCCTGGGTTACGTCAAGTAGGGCAGGCGATATGAGTAGAAACTTGATACTGTATAAGATCTGGCGTAGGGCTTGTACGAAGTTGAGAGTGCCGAGTAAGCCTGAGAATAAGATTTCTGGAAGTTGCTTGTAAGGTCGTGGACTTGACTCTGCATTCCGATGCCGGTGGATCGCTTCATTATTATCTCCTGCCCAGTAGCGGCGATTGGTGACACATTGCCACAGACAATATCTTTGTGAGAAATCAGATGCCGATGTCTTGTCTTTGTGTGAGTATTCCTCCTCATGCACAGATAGTACTCTGCATTAGTTCTCTTGGTAGTTAAAGGTCGTTGGATCAGCCTTTGTTGGCAAGCTGGTAATTCATGTCGAAATCACAACGCACTGCAAGTTCAAAAAGACGCGCTGGCTATTGTCTTGTCTTTTAACTGAAAATAGTGTTTTGTATTTTTATAATCTCGGTCAGCCCGGGTAGTCACAGAACCTGGATGTCTGACTTCTTCATCTTGGCAGACGAATGAAAAGCCAATTGCCCATATACACAATGTGGCTGGCGGCAACTCCCGATATCCAGGTCTGTTTACATAATTTCACTTGAGACAGCACACAATATCGAATCTCCATGTCTGCTCTTTGGTTATTTCTGTTAAGTTTGTATCCATCGATATCATATAATGTGCAGGCATTGAGCTGTGATACCCTCAATTAGGAATCAGAATTGACCGACATTAGGAACTACAATACTTCTAGTAGGAACTCGCCATGGCGCTCAACCGACCACCGTCCATGACCATGATCGAACCGTTCGAATAGCTGCCGGAACGACTGGTAAGGTAGAGAATTGCTCCGGTCATCTCCTCATCTCCTCCGAACCTCCTCGCAGGAATGAATTTCGTATCATCAGGAGACTCACAGTCTGGCTTGCGGTCACCGATAAGCCCAGCAGCAATCTCGGAAGGGAATACTGGAGTTTATTAATTTTGTGGAATTGAGATGCAGAATCAGAACCGTAGTACTCACATCCAGGGGCGATGCCGTTCACACGAATGCCATGTCTAGCCAATTGGCTGCTAGCTTGCTTAGTGAGCTGCATGATGGCAGTCTTGCTGGCTAAATACGGTGGCGTCGAGGAGAAATGCCGACTGAAGGCCGAAATACTGCTCGTGAAGATAACTTGACTCTGGATGGCGATAACGTCGCTACCTTCCCGGTCCGGCTTGCCGAAACCACCCTTGAGAGCATTCTTGTTACCGGCATCAAGGAGTTCAAGGAAGGCTGACATGGTGAAAAAGGCAGCTGTGATGTTCACGTGCAGAACCTCTGTCATTTCCGTCATGGAAAAGTCATCGAAGAGAATCTTCTTCAAATCGGAAATGGAATGCGCTGGGTTAAAGCGAACAGAAGGCCCAAGAACACCTGAATTGGCGATAACGAGGTTGACATAGCCGACTTCCTTAGTGATACGATCGACAATGGATTGGAGGTCTTCCTTTGAGGTGACATCGCACTTATGGGGGATCAGATTGGGATGTTCTTTGGCCGCGGCCTCAAGCATCTCAAGACGGCGCCCGAGAATGTAGACCTTGGCGGCACCTTGAGAGACCAGAGCCCTCGCCATTGTGAGGCCGATACCTAGGTGCGGTCTTAGCTCTGGGCTCATCAACGTCTTGCCGAAGGATGCATACCTGTCCCGCCGCCTGTAATCACGGCGACGATGCCGTCGACTCTGAAAATCGCGGTCGAATCCATCGTTGCTTCTTCTTCTACTGCAGTCCTTGCAAGAATGTGGAAGAGCAGTCGATTTTGATGATGCAGGTCGGGGATTGATCCCCGTGATGTTGTCGGACTTCTCCATCATATATACTTCAGCCCCCGCGCCAATGTCCGGACAACAGACGTGGCGCCCATAAGGTGTAAGCACCTCCTGCAGCCACATCCGTGCCTTGTGCTAGGTTACGGCTTGAACTTCGAGGACAAAGGATCAATGGACCGCGTTTAAATTGACATCCTTAGCCAATTGCATTCTTCGGTAATGGAGCCCACTTTATTTCGTAAAGTCGTTCAAAGTAGGAGCTCCGACCGTTTTCTGCTTCGAGCAACTGGTAAGCGACAGCTCCAGGTACTAGCAGCGGCTGGCCGGAAGGATCACGGTGGTTATCGGTGGTCAGCTGGGTTTACAAATCAAACACGTTTACAAATCGGAGCCATTTACAAATTCAATCAGTTTACAAATCGAATCTGGCTGGAGCACGGCGGCGCTCCTCCTGCGATAAACCGACACTCGGCGGCGCTCCACCTCAACCTTTGATCATGACGACAGATCACCTGAATTTGCAGTCTCACTGAGCTCACCACATCACTTGACTCTAGGTGATCAGACTGACTGCATGTCTTCCCTTTGAGCTTCGTCATGTCCTCGGCATCCAGCAGTCCTTACATTACGAACCGCACTGCAAAGTACTAAGCCTACAAAGACTACAAGAATATGTAATGAAATAGACTGTTATAGTAGATATACCCTAATGAACGTGATGAACTTCAGGATTTTTCAAGGCCGATCGATGTGGTAGAAGTGGGCATCAAGCCGTGGTGGCCGCAGTACTGAGGCTTCATATCTCGCAGGTACATGCCGAAATGGATGTTGAGTCAGGATCAAAGTGATTGATGTTGTGTTTGAAAACAAATTCTATTGATTCTAAGCCTCTGTATATGTTTCTAACTCTATAATACTGACAGAGGACGTCTATATAACACGTCGTGTAGGTCTAGTAGATGCTCCAGTCACCATTCATCTTCAGGTCAGGAGTGTGAATGCCCCGCTTCTCTTTCTCAATCTCCTCTTGCATGGTCCAGTTGGGTTCCCACTTGAACCCCTTGGGAAGGTTTGTATGCTCAAAGGGAGTGCCATTCTCGAGATGACTGCGGCCTTCGGCAAACTTTTCAGTGGCGTACTTTGCAGGGTCGTGAGTCCATATCCATTTGCCAAGTCCCATCGGGCCTCCTTTTGCTGCAGATTTCATGACCTCTTCGAATCCACCCTTCCGGTGCATCTCTCGTCGATTGGCGAATCCAAGACGCTGGAGGGTAGAGGCGCGTCGAATGCTATTGGTTTCATGCACCGTCAGTTTGGCTCGAGAGACCAGAGGCCATATGTATTGGGAGTTGAACATACCGCAATAGTTCGTGAACCTTGGTTCCAATGTTGGCGTCCTTCTTTCCGGCGAGACGCAAGCATTCAGCCAGAGATTGAGCGTCCTCCAGCGCTGTAGATGCGCCAGATATCGAAGATGGAATAAAGGCGTGCGCACTATCACCAAGCTGAAGAATCCGACCCTCGGGCGATGTCCACTTAGGCTGAGGATCGCGCCAGCAGAGCTGCCATTTGACGATGCTGTTCTCGGGGATGTTGCGAATACCTTCCAAAATCAAAGGGTCCCATCCTTCGGTGACTGGTAGTTTACTGACAAACTCATCGCCAGTGATGGTCTCAGCCCATGACTCCGATGCAGTCCCATCGTCCTATAACGGTAGTGATTAGTCGTTTCCATC